GCAGATGTTAAATGGATGCTAACGGAAGGACTTAAGCTGAAGTGGGAATGGTGTATTCCGCACATGACCAATGCTGCCACAAAAGCCGCATGTGGTATTGTGAATGACAAGACCAAGTCTAAAAACCCATCAATGACGGAATTGATATCTCGCATTGGGAAAACTGTGTTTCAGGTTCGTCACGTCGAGGTGATGGGGTCTCTATTTGAGGAGCTCTGTGAAATGACTGGAGAAGGCAAGTCTCGTACTTTGATCGAGTTCAAACCGCATCGGTTTATGGGCCTTACAAAAGTGATCTTGCGCATACTGGAAAAGTGGGACCAACTTGTCGTTTGGTTTGGTGAGCGAATCTCAAAAGCGCTGCGGTCTGGACTTGCACCTCCCGAAGGCTTCCCTTTAGCCGCAGACAAACTGGATTTGATTCAACTGGTTTGCATTCTGCAGCCAATTACACTTCTCAACCGACGAGCTCAAAGTGACTGTGCGAATCAAATTGATGTCCTCTTGACTTTGTACAGACTTCGACAAAATGTTTTAGATCCGTCTGCTGCGCTCGTGGATTACCGCACCAAGCATTTACGGCCACCACGGTACTTCGCTGTTGTCGAGTTGACACCATTGGTCTCCAAGACGCGTCAATTACTCGCCGATGCATTTCACGATCGATTCTTTTCTCGCTATACCAACCGAACAAAAGTTCGCAAGATGTCGTACATCTTCGAAATTCAACTACTCCTACACCCCAAACTTAAGAACCCCGATGGAGTGCTCGCAAGGATGATTCATTTGTGCAACCAGCAGCTTGTTATCGAACCGGCTAATCCGTCAAAACGATTGCGTCCTGATGAAGTATCTCGAATGGTGAATTATGTCAAGACAACCATTATTGACCAACTAAAGTCTTTGATGCTATCGACTGCACCTGTCCAAGAAATCAGCACGTCTCAAATACCCAATTCGAACTCGCAGCCTATTATGTTCTCTGAAGACCTTATGGACTTCTATGAACAAGACGAGGGTACTGCCGAGGCGCCCTCGAACGACGTACAGAAATCCCGGATTGAAGACGAGTTGGAGCGGTGGATCAGTCAGCCTGTGACTATGGACCGAAATGGACAAAATCAAGCCGAGCATGTTCTTGAATTTTGGAGTCGCCAGACCAATAGGACATATCAGTTTCTTCCTTCAGTTGCGCGTATTGTGTTTGCCGTTCCTACTTCATCGGCTCAGATTGAGCGCGACTTCGGTGTTAGTGGAATGATGGTCACTAGCCAACGAAGCTCAATTTCCGCAATGAACATCGATATGTGCTCGTTCTTGAATAGAAACCGGAAATTTATTGACGTGACACAATGCCCAAGGCTTCAAGGCGACGCATACCGCAATAGCATCCCAACAAACGTGTTATTGCCAATGGAAGATGATAGCGATTATTTGGACATTTCAGCGGA